TCAGCAGGATTTAACAAATGTTCTCTAATTGTAAAAGGCTAGAAATAGCTTACATGAAAATTTGTTGCAATGGCTATGCTTTAGCTCTCAGAGAAAACTGGTACCAATGAAGACATTTTACCAAGTGTCTTGAAATCTAAAAATCAATTCCCAGTTTTGCCATAAGTGCTATACTTGATCTTCAAGAAGCACTGCTAATTTGTAGAAGAACTGGTTCTTTATTTTTCACTTGCTTTCAGTTTTAGTAATAAGTGCTTTAGACTGGAGACACCCCAGTGCTTGTAGAGCTAGCACAGCAAGGCCATAAACACAGGGCTACAAGTATCGAGACTTTTGTCCTGGATCCCTGACCAGTATGACATTTGCACTCACATTCCAAGACTTGGCATGAAGAATGTGTGTACTGCCTTCATTAATCCTACATATATTGCTAAATTCTGTCCGAAATGACCCTAACTATCTACCATTAACTACTAGATTATTCTCTCAAATGTGGAACTAAAGCAATTAAAATACCAGAGGAATTTAGTTCCCCAATAAGTGTTTTGATCTAAAATGTTCCCTCAAATTTCTGAGTTTGTGCAAGAAGTAAACACATCCATAACCTAAGACATTTTCACTTAAAATCTCCTTTCACCCCTAATATTAATGTAGTAAATTTGAAGTAACTTCAACAAGAAGAGATCAAGCGTCTCACACCAAAATATTCTAGACAGCAACATACTGCCTATTTGCATAGGACATGCAAATTCATTTGGAAAGAAAGGACACGCAAATTGTCTTTACACAGTGAATTACCATGCAAGACTGGGGCACATTCAAAACTTGAAAATGAACCAATCTAGACAAGAACAAAGCTACTTTATAGCCTGCTGTGATTCTAGTTCCTATGTCCAGGACTGCTTATTTTACAAAAAAAAAAAAAAAACCAGCCTGCAAAGAAGTACAAACAGTCCCGAGAGCACAAATGTCAGCCTGGGACAGCTTCCTCCTGGTCAAGTGAAGGTGGCACTCAGCAGCTTGCTCAGCTGTGGCATCAGGCTTATTTTTGCACTTCCACCATCCCCTCAGCCTTGCACAACGCCCAGTTTCGCTAGCACAGGTAAAAGGTGACTGTTCACAGCCAAGTCTGGCTCTGAAGCACAAGACATTCTCCTAGGACACACAGACCATAGGCCTCATCCTTTCAAGAGAAGGGGCTTGCAGCTACAGCTTTATGGGTTAAGTGCTTTAGCTGTCACAAACTCCTACTTAAAATGTTACAGACCAAACCCACAACCACCTTCTCATATGAGTGCATCTTCAAATAGTACTCATAAATATGTACACAATGTGCTAGACTGCAAAGGCTCATAGTTATTTTGAAGCTATCAGCACTCAGAGTACTAAAAAAAAAATACAACAAATCTTGGAGGATTACAATCTACAGCAAGGAATGCTTATATGAAAATTAATAATTGAATGATCTTAATAATTTGATTAAATCACTGGCTATACTAAATAACCTCTGAACAGATTAACAGTTCAAAGGCTTGTTCCTTCACTAAAGATTTCACCAGCCATTTAGAATGCAAGTTAAACATATGATAAACAGCTTTCAGACTAAATTCTAATTTGATGTAATTAATTCTTTATTTACTCTATTATTTCTTGAACTGGAAACAATTCAAGCCTGGCTGTGGTGTGTCCTCCTTAAGAAAAACCCAAATGAGAAGGATTTGTGTTTCTGTTTTTTTAATTTATTAGCAGTAGTAATATTTTTGTAACTCCAAAGAAAGGGCTACATTAAAACAATGCAAACAACTAATGGAAACATCACATCCTTAGATAACCTAAAAATGAGAAAGTTACTGACAACAAATACGAATGTGCACACCCATGCTCAGAACCCCTTCTTTGTAAGGATATGCTCTCAAAACAGTTCATGTCGTCACTTCCCCAAAACTGGAGAGAAAACAAAACTGTAACTTCTGCCTCCTGAAAAGACTGAGGTAATACATGGGTTTTTCTGCCATGTGATACAAGCTGGCCTGGTACAAACCAGAAAAGTAATTTAACACTTACCAGAAGAATGCATTAATGTTTCTTGCAATGGATGTTACTTGAAATCAGCAGAGAGCCTTTGGAACATGGCATGATTTGTTTGCTCATTATTTTAGCAATACTTTAAGAAATACAAACTTTTGACAGCAGGCAAATGTATATGTATCTTTTCATTGCTTGCAAGTGTCTTCTGGATATTTCAATTAATACTAAATGTGTATGACTAATTTTAAATTATTAGAAACCATCATATGCTGTAGTGAAAAAGTTAATCACATTTTCATCCAATATCTAAAGCAAAAGGTAAAATAAACTCAAGTTTAGGGGAAGTTCTGTACAGTTTCTCCAAGTCTTGGAAAGCCAAGCCAAGACTTGTTTGTAGACGTAAAAAGACTACTTTAGCATAAAAACTGAAGGCAAAGGTTACATTTAAGCACCTTGAGACAGTCACCACTTGGAAGCATTGACTAAGTATTGCTAAGTATTGACTAAACCACTTACTGTGATTTTGGTAGCTTTGTTCAGAACATTTACCCATTCAACTAGGTCCTGCTGATCATTGGCTTGTAGAAAGTATTTTCTCATCCCTGCATTCATAACTGTTAAAAACCATTATGAAAAATTAACAACACTGAAATTTAAAAGCAAACTTAACATCATCAGAAAAAGATTCGATTTCAGATGGAAAATCCAGCTGAAGTATTTAAGCTTTATGCCGCATTTCTTAATTTCTTTTTAGGAAGTCATCTTAAGATACATATACCCGCTTGACAGGCTTGCTTTATTCTAAAAAAAACCCTTTTTTTTTTTTTAAAGCTCTCCACTTAAACTGCATCATACAGAATTTGTTACATGATATTTATTACAAAAAATAAAGCCTTGAATTTTATCAGAATTTTCTATAGCTCCACTTCCCTTTTCTCAATCTCCCTAACGAACAAAACTTTATACCTGGGGACTTCTACAATTTCTCCTTTTAATCCTCTGACCAGTATCTGTTATCCTTTGCAACAAACTCATTCACGTGACTATGATCACTGATTTTCATTTGTTCTTAATTTGTGGAAAAATCAATATTGATTACTAAGTATATGATGCTCAAGACCAAATAACTTCAAAATAGCCAGAACATAAAACTTCATTTCACTTTAGTGACTTGGCAGAAAAAGCGCATTTTCAGTAAGTTTATATCTACCTGGCAACACCTAGCATACCTTTATCCAAAAAGGACAAACATATTTCTGTGTAATAGTAAAAAAGTCATGACCAGGTTTCTTACAAACTTTAAGAACTTATCTTGAGATTAGTTTTAAGATGAACAGTGACTAAAACTTTCCCAGAACTTTGAAGCATTGCAGCTAAAGTCTGAACAGATTTTGCTGCTCTACTTATAACATCACAGTTCTTCAGGTCATCCCTAACAGCAAGCACATGCCACAAACAGATACGTTTTACTCTATCATCTTTCTCCCCAAGGTGGATGGTTTGAAGCAGCTTTAAATGTAAATATAATTTCAAAATACAGGACTGTATAATGAGTTGACTGAAACAACAACTCCCAGTATTTAAATAAAAAGACATTAACCGTAATTTTTTTCATCTAAAAAGTATCAAAAATGCTTTAGCAAATCAGAAATATTAAAAGCTTTCAGACAGCATCTTGGATCATTAAGGCTTTTGAAGAGCTGGCCCTTTGACAAGAGCAACTTTACAACTGATGAAGACAAGCACCTCTACACGTGCATATGCAAAGGAATCTGTAGATGGCACTGAACTGACACACTAGGTACCAGTCTAGAATCCCAGAAGCCTTACTCACAGCGGTGATTTACCAAATGTTTCATTAGCTCCAACACAGACTGCACAAGTCTGGGCCTCTACAACACTGCACATGGCAAAGGACACCTTAACTAATTGTCATAAAACCTTCAGGTATTTTCAGTACCTTCACCTGAGCTAAAACTCATATGTGAATACAGCCATAAAGAATGGTTATTCATAAACAGAGCAGAGGCTGATTCCAGTCTCTACACATACTTTTGTGAATGCCAATTGCTTGTCAAAAAATGCTGGAATTATGGTAAATTCTGAAAAAATTACTTATAAGAAAAATCTAAAAAAAGACCACGAGGGGCTTTTATGATCAGCTAAAGCTTTGCTCAAGTTTAAACAAGTGTAGGTATCAATAAACCTAGAAGGTACCCCAAGCAAATTATTTTTCTTTGGAGCAGCAACAGAAACTGAAATTTAACACAAGAGCATTGGCTGACAGTATTTTTAGATCCATTAAATCAATTCTCAGTAATACACATTAAAACAGTTAAATTACTTGCCTTCATAGCTGACAGGCATGCCATGTTTACAAAAACACTCATCATTTTTTATTAGCTTATTAATGCCCCAAAAATTTCAACATTTGAAAAACAGCTCTCACCTACTCCTCGTTAAGCTGCAACACGAAAAGCCACAAAAACACCTTATGAAGAAGCCAACATTTCGCTCATACTAAAGAAGAAAGAGTGAATACAAGGCCCAGCTGTATCTAGTAACAGACCATTATCTTCTTTCTATTTTAACAGAACATTATCTTTCTTTCAAATTTCTGAAGAATGTACTTGATGCACACACAGCATGCAAGAACTTACCGAAACAGAATTCTGCCTTTGGCCTTAGCTTCGTTGCATCGCTAACCTAGTAGGGAAATAAAGATTATAAATATCACTATGCATACAAAAGATACATCAGACAATACACTTCTTTTTCTCTTTCAAGTGGCTAAATTTGAAAATTAGCAGCATAGCAAGCTTGTTAAGTATACCGATGTACAGAATATACAGATATAACAAAAAATACTATATAAAATTCAAGATGCGCAACATTTGTTAAGCAGACAGCTTAAGCCATATGTTCCTATTCCTTAAGTTTAAGGATTCATTACCAGACAAATGATGACATCTGAAAATGTAACACTTCTATTTGCATTTTGAAGTTCTACATCTCAACTGAACTGAAAATTCAAGGACATTTCATACTGTCAATACATAGAAATGTATACAGACGAATGAATTAGGTATTTTCTAGAAATTTTTGTTTTATCTATTAAAGATCATTATTACTTGCTGACTATCACACCTGAAGTCTTATCTTCCACTTCATAAATAGCCTGTCTTTTCTCCAAGACTAACTGGAATTCAGATGCTCATAAAGAACTAAAACATACAGTTCAGAAACATTAATTCTATGCAGCACAAAGAGCTGCCATTTGAAATCATAAAATAAACCTAGACAACACGGTAATTAGTCTGTTCTTATTTTAACCTGATACTACTGAAGTGTTTGTAACACTCCTCTAAAATTCAGGGGTAGCACACAAGCATAAAGCTTCCCATGCGCTACATAAGAGGATTTTAACATTGTCTAAAGTTGAAGCTGTCAGAAGCAGCCCCTGGCAGTTACCATCAAAATTTAGCAACAAGTGTCTTACATATTATCTTACCTTTGAAATATAGGTAAGTTTAATGACTCCAACAGGTGGAGATCCAGAGGGAAGATTCTGAAACAAATCATATGTTACAAAGTGAAACTAGTTCATTCTGCTATCACAGTTAGTGTTTATGCATAGAAACTAACTCAACTCCACAAACAAAAAGAGAATCCTAAGTGTTTTTATAGACAATACACAATGTATGCTTGAAACAGGATCTAAACTACTTGTGTATTATACACACATCTGTTAATCAACTAAAAACAGAAAGAGTGCTAGAAACAGTATAAATAGTAATTGTTTCAGAGGTTTATGTATTTCACTAGAGGAAAAAGGATTCTTGCAGGTCTGCATGCAGGAAATCCGGAAAGAATACTTTTTCCTTAACAGATGTTGGCGTCTTATGTATTTTGACCAGGGCACACGGAAGGGACAAGAAGTGACATTCATCTATTATGTCAGATACTTCAAAGGCTGTCTCATTTTTCCAAAATGAACTGAAAAATCATAGTCTTATAATTTAATATTGAAGTTATTACAGGGAAAGACCATGATACTTCCTAAAGCTGCAGTTAAGCCTAAGCATATTTACAATCCAAAAAGGATGCTGATTTTACATCCTTGCTAAGCACACTAGTCTTAGCATTTCCATTACTATTCACAACCAGCTAGCAGCCTAGAAACACAACAGTTAAAGAACTGAGCATCACAAAGCATGGTTAACTTCTTTATTAACTATTTCTGATTAAGCAGTCTTCCTAATTTTATTCCTTTAAATAGAGCATGGTTTTCCATATACCTTTTTCCATTACAACTTAATTTCAAAATGGCCCTTTATGTTACAGTATCATTCTTCCCACTACAGGCCTCCCTGGAGACCTTAAGAATGGTACTGCATCTGCTCGCTCATCCTTTCCCCAGCTGAAGTGCTCTTCATTATGCCAGAGTGCCTTACAAACTTTTACATTGCAAAGAGGAACCTAATGCTACCCAGAGTCAGAAAGACTGAGAAATAATTGGTTTTTACTCTATTCATATTCAAAGGTAAGAATTAGGTTCGGTTTACTATAAGGCTGGTAACACTGAAATTTCGTTAAAAAAGCCTTCCCATTCTGCTCAAATAAATAAATTTAAATTTTACTTTATCAGAATGATTTTGATCCCAGCATACACCAGTTTTCTAGTCTTTATATTAGGATAATAATGTGTGGTTAATGGTGGACTTAAAAACATTATTTCTTTGAACAGATGAACTGATTTTCACAGATACAAATAGAGCACTTCTATCAGCAACAAAGGGCACAGAAAAGTCACATACTGTAGACATCCTATATGAAGAGTTTCATCACTTCAAGGAATAACAATGGTCTCCACATACTGCATCTATAAAAACCCTGTTATTCTTCAAAACTAAAGCAGTAGAAGAAAATAAGCAGCTTCGACTTGTGAGCTCTTGCAAGGCACCCTTTCATTTGTCCGTGAACGGTAACATTAAAAATATCATTAGCCTTTAAACTTCTGAAGAATTGCAATTTCTACAGCATTTCAAGTTTTTACCCACATGCCTTGGTTATATCACAGGAGAAACTGAAAAAAAGAATTGTTTCATAATACTCATTGACATATAACATTTGAAGCCTCTCTTATTTCCAGAAATTCTTTCTTTTTTCTCCTCAGGAAGAACTGCTAAATGTTTCATGTCACATTCACTGAGCTGCACATTGCTTTAAATTTTTTTTTGTTGGTTCCTTTGAGCACTAGACTTCTACTGCATTTTAACGCTGGTCTTCCTGGCAGAATGGTGCACGAATATTCTTCTGGCAGACAGTTATCAGCTGACCTAGATCCTATGCTTTCACTGCCTCTGCACCCAAACCATAAGCAAATTTCTGTTCTCCCCTATGCTAGAAAACACACTGATGTGTGTACATTGTAAGAGTAGCTTTTATATAAAGGATGCTGTCCATCATGATGGATACAGGGTTTCCTCATTCATATACTATTCATACTGTATTGAAACTGCAAGCATCATTAGAAATTGCTTCTCAATGACTGATTCTGTTGAGGTAAAGTAATATGAAACTGCTAACTGACCCATGCAATGCAAGGAAAACTACATATTCCACGTAAAGTTAGAGGTGAATTAAAAGACCCGTGTAGTGAAACTCGTATGCGATTCGGCTCACCTGGTTATACTATGTAGCACTACCTAGTGCCTGCGAGAACCTGTAATGCACACTAAAGACACTTAATAGAAAAAACACTTAGCACACCATCACTCAAAACTAATGACCAATTTATACATGGGATCAAATTCAGATTCCTATCTGATCCCTAGATCTCTTAGATTCCAAATGTTGGCACTGATGTTCAAGTTGCTTTTAATGTTTTACTATTAAGTGCAATTGGTAACGTTTTAAATAAAAATATGAACTATATTTTTTTCTTTAAAAGACTGTATATATTAGCAAAGAAGAAACAGTTTCTTGTAAATAAAAAAAATTATTTACAATTATTTCACTTATGTAACTAATCTTTCCCCCTAGCTTCCAGGTCCATAAGATAATACTAAACCCATTTTTTCTGAAGTAAATTTGTTAAAAAAATCTGGAAAAGTGGAAATTGATAGAAGCCAGGAAACTATTGCCAGGAACATCTCACCTGTGGGTTATCCATGTACCACACCAGACTGTCTTCTCGTGTGTCCAGAATGAAGTACCGCCGCAGAAATTTCCCACTATTCTCATTTTCTTCAATATCTAGGAAACCACAAATGCGATTCTGACGATCCACATAAGGCATTTCTGACCCTGAACATCACACTGCAGAACAAAAAGTATAGAAGTTAAGCAAAATTCCTCGTTACTAATTTTAAGACTGTTCTGCGCCTACCCATGACATTTTCAGCAGTTTCAACTAGTAGCTTAAAGATGTTTCTACGGAAAAGTAAGTGAAGCGTAGCTGTTTCCCCTCACTACCACTGAATTTTTAGATAGGTCTTCCTTACTTCTTTGACACATAAACTTAGGATACTTAACGCTCTAAGTGCAAAGATACAAGTGGTAAATAGTAGATGAGCAACAAAACTAGCTTTTACAAGATCACTAAAGAATAATCAATGATTCTCCTTCACAACTTGCACAAAGTTGAGATAACGTTAGGTTTACACTTCCTTCTTTGACTTTGCCTTTCATGGTCAAGAAAGGATCTTTCTCAGCAGCTCTACTGTCCAATGCAATTTTTCATATTTTGCTTAAGCAAATTCAACAAAAAGGCTTTTAGAAACATTGTTCACATTTTTCTTTTCTCCTACAAAAAGAATTTCATGTCTAACAATATCTAAGAACAGGCATCTTTTCATCCTTATACGTTAAATAGTCAAAATGAAGTTGTATGTGTAGCAACACAGATGTGAACACTTGCTAGTCCAAAACTGAAATCCTCAATATCTACATGGTAGTAAGTTTGAGGGTATTAGGCTTTTTTTTTTTATTTTGGGTTTTGGGTGGGAAGGGGGTTACCTTTATTTGTTTTGCTTTAAAAAAATTTAAAAAATAAAACCCGTACTGCTGACCACTTATTCCCATTTTGCCTGCTTCACCTTTTATGGCTCTTACTGCAGGCTATTGCATCTTTTTTTTTTTTTTGCTTCCTTTTATTTTACGAGACAGTCATTTTACCTTAAGAGTCAGCCTTTTAAGACCAAAGATAAATTTGCATGCTCATCTAAAAATGGCAATAAACCAACATTTAAATATAATAAAAATCAGGTTGATGCCAATCTTCCCCAGAGCAGGAAAGAAATCATTGTCGTCTTCACATTTTGTCACAAAACTCAGAAATAGTACATATCAAAAAACATTAATATTAACACGAGACATAGAAGATTTAAGCACTTCACACTTTTCATAACATCTTCCAGCTTTCACTGTATAATATGGAAGCTTTGTTTTAATATTTCTTGAAATTGTTTACCTTTACTGTTTCCCTGCTTAAAGTTATTTGATTTAATTACAGTTATATGAGGCAGACACCTGATAACTATCTGCAGCTAGCCATTGACACAGCACAGTACAACATGATATATGGTTAAGCACATTTAAAGTGTTTATTTTGGGGAATCTGAGACACAGATAAGCATACATTTTGGGGGGGGGATTAGATATACAAACATGTAGATACATGCTTTTCTTTACAGCTGTCATTTTATATGACTAATTAGAATACTAGTCAAATTTTGCTTCAAGCACTTTGAGAAACAATTTTTTAAAAAATCTATTATAATGATTTTGATACCGTACTACAAGAATTACTAGTAAACAGTTTTAAGTCATTTAGCTCAATCTGTAAAATAACTAACCTTTTTTGTGCCCAACACCAAACTAATCCTCTGGCGCAAACTCAAGCCTGATACATTAAGTTTGGCATCAGGGACTAGATCCAAATCTCAATTCAGTAGTATTTGCAAGAAGTTGAAGAGATTGCAATATCATAGTCATGACAGACTACCAAGAAGGTCAGTAATTTGCTTTTTTTTTTTAATATAAGCTATTAAATTCTAAAGATAAATGCATTTTTGTGTATAACAAAGGTAACAGTTTTGTTTGGGATGCAAGGCATTTTCTATACAGCCTCAAGGACATTAAATGTGTATAAACCTTCCATTAAGCACTTGACAATTTTTCTTTCTACCTCCAAAAGGTAAAAAAGTCTCCATATTTAAGCTATGCAACAATGGTTTAAATCTTCAAAGGCATAGGTTTGTTCTTCAACAAAAGTAACAAAATTTACTAGGGTAATCTAAATTTTATTGGTATGTTCCTCACAATAAGTATCCCAGATATAAGACAAGTTCTGTAACCAAGGTAAAGTTATAAGTAACAGAAAAAACAAACACTTGAGCACTCGTACGACAATGTCATAATCATAACGAACATTCATTAGTAACTCACATGCTGGCTCTTGGGATCACTTTACACCAAAACAACACCTCACTGTAAATACATCTGTAGCTAACAGCAAGCTTAAGGGTAGCTGTTCTCTAAATTATACCTCTAAGCTGGCAGAACTTGGCATCACACATTGTTTTCATTTAAATGAATATAAAAATTGTCATTTAGCAGTATTGCCTTAAGTTGTGCCAGGTGGTCCCTCAACAAAATATACAGCACTCCCACAATACAATTTCAGCTTAATATCAACAGTTTATGAAGCCCAGAACCCCTTGTGCCTAAAAAAAGCAAATATTGGTGGCCGGTTTCCTGTTTGAGCAGGCTTGAGCTGTGTTCTCTGCACATGTGAAGAAAGTGAAACAAGGAAAAAAATTTTTTTTTTTTGAAACGAGATACAAATTGATTAAGGATCCTTGAACAAAACCAACTCAGTTTTCAAAGCAATTTTCCCCCTATAGGAGAATCTATGTTTCAAAAAACCTTTTAAGAAAAATGAAAGGATACTCATAATGCTCCGTTATAAGCATACCGTTAGCTAAAGCTGAACTACTCCAATACCTTAATTTTTTTTTTCCCAAGGCAAAAGACAAAACTCAAAAACTTTCTCTTATTTGTCAATAAACCCATTTTCACAGAAAAAAACAACCCTAAATTCATACAGATTTTCTATTTCAAAGTTCTACTAGCTAATTTCTAGCCTACAAAATAGTATTATTTGCCGTTCCTTTGTCCTCTGATGAAAATACAAAATAAACTATCATTAATTGAAAATCTTAAGTTGTATAACTTCTGTTTTCTTCAGATTAGTTCAAAATTCCTCATGGGATTACTGACATCTACCAAACTGACGCTCTTAAAGGACGAAAGATTAAAAAACCCTCTAACTGTATTATAAAATTGAAATCAAACATAAAATCATGCAATTGTTTTCCAGTTTTACAAGTCTGCTGCCACCATAGTACACCTTGGCAAGATTCCACTGTAAATTAACACCAATTCTATTCAGCATTCATTAACAAACCACAATTTGTAATGCACATTAAAAAAAAAAATCAATTTGTGCCTTTCTTCCAGTTACTAAAGCAACTGAACACACATGACAAAACCACCACTGTGACACCCTTCCTGGCAACTCTAGACAGACCAAAAAAGCAATAACGACGAAATTAAGACGTTACTTCTAAAGATTCATAAAAGGAATTGCAGAACTCTAACATTAATTTCACAGTGTAGGAAATCTGCCTGGAAGACCACCAACCTAACAATTCACAACTTAAAAGTGTCTTCAGAATACAGATCTTGTCTTACATAGATATGATTTATTTTTCATGAAATTATTATTTCAGGCGATTATACAACAAAGTCTGTGTACGTTTTACAGCTCTTATTTACATGCACACTTAGTTATTTTCTGCAGAACAGTGTAATAACTCTTCTGCCCACTTTTTAAATCAAATATTATAAAAAGATTATGAATAGTTAGAAAAGCTGAAGGCATGAAACCTGTAACAGATTACATGCAACTTCATTTTATTGTGCCCTTCCCTCCCTGGAGCGGAGGGGGCAGGAGGGAAGGAGACATGGGTCAATGACACAGTGCTACTTCAGAAAAAATATCCCTGTGGCCCATTTCTTCTGGGTTCTCACCGCAGTCCACCAGCAGCTAAAATATTTTTGAAAACCCATTTTGTGGTATATATTGATAGTCATATGTAAGACTTCAGAAAACTCTCAGCTCCTTAAAATTTCTTCTTGGACGGTTGTGTTATAATCCAAACAGGAGGTCTCACTTATTTTTGAAGTCTTACATCCCTCTTTCCGGTGGCAGTGTACTAATTTAAGTAGGTACATACTTCATCAGCCCAGCTTCTCTCAGATTTCCCCTCTCACCACTCTCTTCCTCTGGCGTATACCATATACCAACATTCCTCAACATTTATATCACAAACTGAAGGCTGTCTGACCTCCTGGGCACCACTATAAATAAAAATCACAAATCACCTTCTCCCAGTCTACCACTATAAAATGCATGACTGCACAACTAGAACCTGCAGAGGCACACAAGCATCTCGTTTTCACCATTTATAACAGACTGCTTAGATTCTGCTACATTAACTTCTATTTTTAGTTTCACACCAGCACCTGTTCTTGAGTTCACCTCCTTTACAGTTTGGTTGCAGCCTCCATATCTTCAAGTACAGACTTTGTACAAGACTATTAAAGTGGCACGCAAGGTAACATTTCTATGGCCCAATCTCTCCTTTGACAGCTAATGCCCGATTTGCCCAAATAGGCATAAACCACAGCCTGCTGGTTTACTACAGAAAGTGGAACTTTGTATGAATAAAAAGACCATGCAATGGGCTTTCCACCATCCACACAAAAACTTGATTAAGAAACACAGCAAGATGAACACTGCTCCTTAATATCTTTTAGTCTTATTTTACATGTGTTTTCCCCAAGCTTTGTGTATCATTTCATTATTTTTATTTCTTTAAAGTAACACTTCTAACACATGCTCTATTAGCATATTGGACATTTTGAACTTTGGATTTAACTTACCACAGGAGATGACTTTGGGGTTCTTTTTCTATTAGCTAAGAAGATTAAGAAACATACATTACCTACTCTCTCATTTCTATGAAATGATGAACATCATTCATAAAACTACACTTGCTAAATACAACAATGATGCCATGAGTCATGCCCACCCCTCCTGCCCATCTCCAATTTTAAACTCTACTATTTACACGAGCTCCATCACCGCAAAGGGAAGGGAAGCAGCATCCCCAGCAACCTCCAGTCTTCCCTGCAGTTCCAGGGACAGCTTAATTATTGAGTGCTCTTGGCTTTTGCCTAGGCAA